TTCTACAGGCTCGCCCTGAAAGTCAACTAGTCTGAATTGCATGTCTTTCAAATTATGAGGACTAATGCGAACCATTTACCTAAATGAGTTGCTATGACAGGAACGTTTGGAATGAACATTGAATTGACTGCATAACAGAAGGATTTATATTCTACTGAACCTTTACTATTAACTCCTTGAAATGCCTGTGACATTAGCTATTTTAGACTCAATGTACAAACAATTACCATAACATACGTATGGAACAGATTTCATCTCAATCGTTTTGTCAACACTTTTCAAAGGAAATGTCATATGGTATGCTCCCAAAAGAAGTTGTACTCTATGACTCATTCGTGTTATCTTGAACTCTTTCTTGCTACTGAACTTCAATGTTCCCTCAGAAGAGAGTTCGACATCTATGTTGTCAATAGTTTCTTCATTTATGAGAGTATCTATGACTCCAGCAATTTTATCTATTCTATACTCTGCTCTGTTAGGAAATGTTATAAAACTTCTTTTGTCATCTATTTCAATCTCTATGAAATCTGTTTCATCTGTTATGACAAAAGTTGCGATAGTATTGAAGTCAACAACTCTGAAAGCAAGCGCCTCATTCTGAAGACCTAAGTTTGTTTGTAGCTTTACTGTCCCGTATTCGTTTGGGTCTGTACTTTGCAAATAGAACAACATTTTATTCTCATTAAAATATGACTATTGCTGCATATGCGTATGAAACAAATGAAGCAAGAAGAGCACATGAACTAGTAAACGAAAACTCAACTTTAACCATTGAAGGCAATGATTTAGTCATTGACGATGGAAAAACTAAAAAAGTCATTGATTTCGATACTTTTAACGCTTATGACCCATTCATTACAATAAGTAAAGTTCCTATCATAAATGATGGAACGGTGCAATATATAAATTCTACAGTAGATGCCTCATTAGTGAAAGTACTGAATGTTCTCATTGAATTGTTAAAGAGCTTTCGATTTGACGACAACATTAAATGCCTAAAGAATTTAGTCATGAATGAGAAACAAATTCTCGGCGTTGCTGGTAGCAGTAATGATGTACACCTTATGACATTAGAATATTATAACGAACATAAAGATGAACTGAAAGGAGAGAAGGGTGACACCGGACCACAAGGAATACAAGGAATACAAGGACCTCAAGGCGAAAACGGTTTGGATGGAAAGGATGGAAAGGATGGAAAAACTGCTAAATCATGGATATGGGACCTTATAAATACTGGTTTAACAGCTGCTTCATATGGAGTTCTTCAATACCAAATCGGAAAGATATGGGCAGTACTTGGTGAAGAAGCTTTAGATGACGTTAAAAATGCTTTGAACTTCATTTCAAATGGTTCGGATACTATTAAAACTTTATCTGGTTGGATGCAAGAAACAAGGAGTCAAATAGATACTGTAAGACGTATAGCAAACAATGCACGTACGGGATTGGATACTTTACGAGAAGCACAAAATACACTAAAGGAAGCAAATGATATTCTTGGCTCAGTATCAGACATGCATGAAGATTGGCTTAAAGGTATTGACAAATCTTTAAAAAATCACAGTCAGTCTATTGCTGACTACAAGAAAAGTATAGATTTTTTACATAGTGCTATGGACGTACATGATGGAAGCATAAGGAACTTACTTAATGCTAACAATAACTTACCAGGAACTATTAAAGCATTTATAAAGTCCTTTGTAAAACCTGGTGCTCTAACATTTAGGTCTTTGAGAGCAAGAGCATTGAAGTCAAGAGATGCAGAAACTCCAACAGAACCTACATAAGGAACTGAAACAACAGAAACTCCAGAAGAACCACCAAAACCAACAGCTAATGAAATATTGTTCGAATATTTTCCAAGGTACTCTGTTCTCATTGCATACATTCAAGAAATACTTAAGAAAGCAGACTTGACTTTAGGAGATGATGAAAGTTCTGTATATCTTTCGTTCCAGTTTCAAATAGCAGAACTTTTGAGACAGATATGCTTAATGTATGACAACATCTCTGATTTCACAAGATATGATGACGACCATGACCCCGAACACTGTGAAGAAGAAGTTTTACAAACATCCATTAAGACAGGAAAGGTTTTAACACAAAGTCTCATTATTGACACCAAAGATGGCGAAGTGGACGTTCTTCAAGAGCTGAAGAAAAATACTTCTTCGGGAGGTGGTGGTAGGCATGAACTTGAAATAAATGAGATAGAAGAGAAATTAGCCGAAAAAGCAGATAAAGAACATAAACACAATATCTCCGATATAAATGAACTTCAAGCTACATTAAATAGTAAAGCGGACAAAAATGAACTTGACGCAATGAACAAAGTTTTGAAATCTCATAAACACAATATCTCCGATATAAATGAACTTCAAGCTACATTAAATAGTAAAGCGGACAAGAACCACGTTCATTATATAACTTCAGACGAACAGATTATAACGGACTACCATGGATATTTAACACGAAGTGATGAAGCGAAGACAAAAAATGTTAATGAAAGAAGATATAAATACATTCGTGCTAAAGGTTATGACATAAGCTGTACTGTACAGTATGATGTAGCTAAAGCACCAGAAGCATTTGGTTATACCGGTGAAATTTATGCCTCTACTTTCAATGTTAACGGTGTATTAGTTGAACCAAGATTTACTTTGAGAGTTAAGTCAAAAATAACGTTTGAAGATGCTATTAAAAGTAAAGCTGACAAAGTTGAACTCGAAGCAATGAACAAAGTTTTGAAATCTCATAAACACAGCATCTCCGATATAAATGAACTTCAAGCTACATTAGACAGTAAAGCCGACAAGAACCATACACATAAATCCTTCACTACTGTTAGAGCAGACGACATAATATTGAACTTTGACCTTGGTTCAAGTGCACCTTTAGAGAATCCAAGTACAAGCGTAAAAGATACTCTTAACAATTTAGATAAGAGTTGCAGGAATATCGAAGATCATGCCAGAAACTTTGAAGCATATGAACTACCAACAATGTTAGATAAGAAAGCTGACAAGAACCATACACATAAATCCTTCACTACTGTTAGAGCAGACGACATAATATTGAACTTTGACCTTGGTTCAAGTGCACCTTTAGAGAATCCAAGTACAAGCGTAAAAGATACTCTTAACAATTTAGATAAGAGTTGCAGGAATATCGAAGATCATGCCAGAAACTTTGAAGCATATGAACTACCAACAATGTTAGATAAGAAAGCAGACAAAACAGAGCTTCAAACATTAAAGACAGAAATACTTCAAACATTATATCCCATTGGTTCTATTTATACGTCAATGAACTCAACAAATCCAGAAACAGTTTTAGGTTTTGGTACATGGCAGCAGATTGTAGACAAATTCTTATACTGTGCTAACTCTTCAAAGCAAACGGGTGGTTCAAAGAAAATTAAAGAAGCAAACCTTCCACCGCACACTCATACAGGAACTACAAACTTTTCTGGTGACCATAGTCACTCATTAAGAGACCATCCATTATACAACTCAGAATATTATGCTGGCAATGACGTTTTATCTCCAGATTATAACCATGCAGCAAAAAAGACTTTTCGACCAACTGAACCAGGAGGAAATCATTCACACACTTTCACAACAAATTCAACAGGCTCGGGTGAAGATTATATGCCACCATTTGTGACTATATTCGCATGGTACCGCGTTCAATGAACTCGCTTGAGCCTAGAATAAAATCTTTAACTTTACATAAATGAGCTTGAAAGAAGTATTCGAACAACATCCATGGAGGTCATTTAAGAAATTCAATGAAGCTGCAAAGAGTTGGGGATTTACTAACAGAGCTGAAGTGAAAAGGTTCTTTGACAAAAATGTTGTACATCAAACAAAAATAAACCCTTACGACTACTTTTTACCAATTTACTCCAACACTCCTGACGCATACCAATTTGACACTCTCATTCAAAGCAGAAAAGGAGGACATAAACCATTCCTCATCTTCATTAATGTTAACACTCGCAAAGCATATGCATATCCAATGAAAAATAAAGGAACTCATGAAGTGTTAAGAGTTTTACAAAAGTTTGTAGCAGAACATAGCCCAAGTACTTTAACATCAGACCAAGACGGTGCATACCTCAGCAATGAAATCACAGAATTTCTCATTAAGCATAACATAACTCACTACACTACTGAAGACCATAACCATAACATACTCGGCATCATAAACCGCTTCATAAGGACTCTCAGAGATTTAAACCAAGAGCGAGACTTTACCGAAGAAACAATGAAACATTTTCTCGAAGTATATAATTCCTCAACACATTCTACAACAGGACATACACCAAATTCAATGACACAACAACAAGAAGAAAAGTATATACAAAAGAAACGAAGCCAAACACAAAATATCATAAATTCAACACAATTTACCCTCATTCCTGGTACAAAAGTTCGTGTAGTTCTTGACGACAAACCATTGACAAAGAAACGTTTAAGGTTAAGTAGAAACTATTATATCGTAGACTCTACACAAGGTAATGGATATCTTATAAAAGCTGCTGACGACTCTATTGCGTTTTATCCTCGTCATAAATTAGTTGAAAGTAGTAATGGCAAACTTGCTGAAACCATTGACGAAGCAAAGCGAGGAGTGGTTATTGAAATACTTGGCTACAACATAAACGATGACACTTATAAAGTAAGATATGAAGGAGGCGTTGAAGATGTTATACCATCTAAGAACTTGAGAGAGTCGAAGCCAACACATCTGGGACCATTAGAGCGGGAGTACTGGAAAGACCAAAATATGCCAGAAAGAATAAGAAAATTCTTCTAAACTTTTTCATTAGATGTAAATCAGACAAAAATAATGTTTAGGTGAAGAGGTGAGATTTCACCTCTTTTTTCACCTGTTTTTTCACCCTCTTGAAAATTCATGAATTTCCTTAAGATAGAAAAAATAAAGTTAGTTTTATTTTTTTCTAACTTTTTATCTTGTAGGTAAGAACAGAAATGTCAGTCGAAGCAAAAACATTCACTAACAAATATAATGGCGAAACATTCACAAAAGGCACTTATAACGGTATTGAAGTCTTACGTAGAGACAAGGATGGTTACATTAATGCAACAAATATGTGTCAGCAGTTTAGGAAAGACTTTAGAAAGTTGTTGGAAAATAAGTCCTGGGAAGAGTATTATAAGGCATTTTGTGAAGAATATAGCAACAGTCCGAATTCCGGCGGTTGCTTTTTATACAAAATTCATGCAGGAATTCCTGATGAAATCAAACAGGTTAGAGGAACGTATGTAGACCCAAGACTTATAAACTATATAGCAATGTGGGCTTCTCCAAAATATTGCATAGCAGTTGGAAAAATTATGGACTCCATAGACAAGAAAGTTCATGAGAAATTAGATGAAGAAGAACTTGAAGATACAGTAAAGAATGCTAAACCTTTGTTCGAACAAGAAGTTAGAAAAATGTGCGAAAAACAATTAGAACATGAACGTGAGATATGTTATGGTTATAGAGATTCTCCATACGAACTAGACCAATGGGAACAAGAAGATTTAAAGAGAGAATTTAGAGAATATGAACTCGCTAAGATAGCATTAGAAGCTGCAGAAAAGAAGTTAAAAGTTTGGGGTCGTTTTGTACAAAAATATTGTGAGTAAATGAACCATTTATTTTTATTGAATTCACCAAAAATATAATTGAGGTGAAGAGGTGAGATCTCACCTGTTTTCTCACCTGTTTTTTCACCCCGTGAATTTTCATGAATTTCCTTAAGATAGAAAAAATAAAGTTAGTTTTATTTTTATTTATTTTTTTATTTTGTATAAAAGATATGATTTCAACAATCGGCACAACAACAATTCAAGCCGCGAACGGCACAACAACAGCACCAAATTCATTAGTCATGAATCCTACGTCAATGTTGGTAGAGATGAAAAGCTTTATTCCTTCTTCATATACTTTTGAAACAGAAATCCAGAAGATCAAACAAGAACTTTTAACAAGTAATTTAGACTGTAGTGCGAAAGATGAAACAAATAAACAGTATCTTTATGAAATGGAGGATCTGGTGGAACATTTACCCAAATTGCCTGAAATCCAGCAACAAAAGCTCACTATTCCTGAATTCGATGAAATTGAAGTCAGACCAACCGACTCAGTTGAAATAAAGAAGTTCATACGTAAGGTTAACTATGAGTTTCTAGGATATCATTGCAACCATAAAGTTATGGACAAAGATTGCGATATGGTATATAAGAATGTTTCTGACATATATAAATCGGAGGAGTTTAAGACATACGACAACTTTGTTTCATTAGTTGCTGAATGTGTATGGCAGATAAGAGATAAAGATAGAAGAGGTAAAGTATGGAACGGACAAATAAAACCCGCAGCTTTTGAGTTAAAGAAAACCATTGACGCTATAGTTGTACTTGCAGGTCAAATTTCAATGTACAATGCTAAAATGAACCCACAATGTTCTAAATGTAAAGCAGCAATAAGGAAATATAACTATTCTGTCAAAGAGATAGAACGTATGCGAAACGACTATGCTGACTTAAAGAAAGAAGCAGAGAAACCAGCAGAAAACAAAATGGACATGTTAGCATTTCTGAACAAAAACTATCCAACAGCTGACGATTTCCTTCTGTCTGACGTCAAGAAGAAATATAAAGAGACTTTCGGCATTGTTAAAACTTTTGATATCCTCAGCGAAGAAATAGAAGCTACGAAATTGTTTAGGATTTCAAATATACATCATACAATTCATGTAAGACGCTTGTGAAAAAGAGGTGAGAAAAGAGGTGAGATTTCACCACTTCACCTAAAATTATTTTTGCTGAATTCAGCACAAAATTCTGAGTAAAATGACATATGGCACGTGTCAAACCGTTGAGTTTTCACAAATTTTAAAAATTGCTGCGGAAAGTTCGTCAAAAAAGTGAAGGTTCCCGACGGTTTCAAACCGCCATACTTTACATGAAGATAGTTTACAATGTCAACTAAATATCATGTACGATAGAAACGGTTATGTAAAGTTTACATTTTGTAAAGTTTTGTCCTGATTCAAGACAAGTCTTGTATTTTTTCAGAACAAGTCTTGCACTTTTTCAAGACAAATCTTGTCCTGATTCAGAACAAGTCTTGCACTTTTTAGTCAGTTTTTCTTGTAAAGTTCTCAAATTTGAGAACAATTGTCCTGATTCAAGACAAGTCTTGTATTTTTTCAGAACAAGTCTTGTATTTTTTCAAGACAAATCTTGTCCTGATTCAGAACAAGACTTGCACTTTTTCAGGAAATCCTATCGTCCAATTTTACAAATGTCACTTTTTCAACATGATTGCATTTTGGTCGGGGAACAACTTTCTCTCATTTTGTCACTTTTTCTATCGTCGTGTTTTGTCACTTTTCCCTCAGGGTGTGTGTCAGAAAATATCCAAAATCTTTATAGCCTCGTATCTCCTTCAATTCTTGACGGTTTGACATGTATGACACACCATTCAATTCAGAATTATGTGCTGAATCTTATGACCTTCATTTGTTCGTGACTTCTTTTCACATATGTAACCATGAATTTTTAACATTTCTTTAACACAGAAAATAAAGTTAGTTTTATTTTTATTTATTTTTTTATCCGGAATATAAAGACAGTAATGACAACATTAGAGAACACAACAACTGCTATCGTTCATGAAGCCATAAATGAAGAATACGAATACATACAGTATAACAAACAATTGAGACTCAAGTTAGTATACAAGTCTTGGGTATGGTGGCACTGCGTTCCACCATACCCAATACTTGTGAATTTGACACTTTACAAAACCGTTAACGTATATTTTACAACATGAACGCAAAAACTAATTTAATCTTAAATATTTACAAAGCCGCCAACCACTTCACTAACGAACTCACTAATGTAAAAAATAAACGTTCTCACTATCGTTCTCACTAACGACTTCACTAATGTTCTCATAAATTTTCCTCAATATCTTCATCATCAGTGTTAACCCTATTGTAGTCATACTTGAAGCCATAAACTTTCTCTAACTTCTTAACGTACAATTTACATAACTTACCTTCGTCATCATATGGTTTAATGATATAACTATTTCTATCTTTATACACAGTCAATGAAAAGTCAACTGGTCTCGGATGTATTTGAAAGAACATGTTATGCTCAGGAAGGAAGAATAAATGTTTAAATGTATGTTTGTTATACTGTGGAATTCGAATGAGTTGCTTTTGTTCTGTCATTACATCCAAATAAAAAATTTCAGTAAACTTAAAAATAAACTTAAAAATTAATGATATCACCACCCTCACACGTATGAAAACATCCATTTAAATTTAGGTGAAGTGGTGAGATCTCACCTCTTTTTTCACCTGTTTTTTCACCCTGTTGAATTCATTGCTTTATAACTCTCTTCCTTTCTCCAACTCTTCTAACTTCTTCCTAAGTTCAGCAATGTTGTCCTCATGAAGTTTAATCTTTCTCAAAATTCCTTCTTTATCTAATGGTTGCTTTATCTTTCTAAACTGAACTCTACCATCCTTCATAGTATGAATGTAAAAACCTTCTGGAATAATTCCTGATTTAATGTATTCTACCAAAAACTTTTGTTTCATTGCTTCAGTGACTTTAGTCGTCATTTCAATCAAATAAAAATTTTAATATTAAATAAAAATAACGTTATTTTTTCAGTAAGGAAACGCAGGAGTTTTACGATTTATTTGAGGAGTAGGTTCTGGTTTAAATGTTGGAGTCGGTTTAGGAGTTGACTTTTGAACAGGAGTTTGTACTTCCATAGGTTCAGGAGTCATTGAAGGTTTTGTTGTGAAGGCGTTGGTTTTGGCGAAGGTGTTGGAGTTTGTTTAACTTCAGCTACTTCAGTATTATTTATAACATTTGCTTTATTTCTTTTCAACATCATTACTGCTCCTGCTGTAGCTAGCAAACCTAGTGGGAGACCATATTTATATATAGGACTTGACCAAATGCTATTTTTGACAGGAGCTGGTGGAACACCTAACCTTGGTGAGACTGCTCTTTGCCATTGTGCAGCTCGTAAGAAATATTCAATAGGTGCTCCATAATCGTTTGGTAAAGTTTGTTTCATAGATGGTGAAGGTTCCGAGAGCTTGATGAAGAACTCATTTATAAGCTTTAAAAATAAACGTTCATCCTTTATTCCTCACTGTCGTCCGTAGCTAAGTTATAGTCATCTAATCTTATTATTGGGATTCCATTAGCACGCACCTGAATGGCAAAGCAACAATCCCTCATAAATCCAATAAGTGGCTTTGGTACGTTTTCAGTTGCTAGTTCAATAGGTCCTTTAACAGACAATTTGTATGTTATTGGAGCAGTAGATGTTTGACCTTGCTGGAAGCAAAAGTCCACTTCTGTTGGAAAACCACATAAGAAATGTGTGTTGTCATAGCTATCCCATTTATGTTCCACACTACCATCATCCACCAATGACCTCATAACATCTTCATTAAATCCAATATCATCATTGTTTGTATTGCAAGCGTTCGCAACCATTTCATAAAATACAGGTCCATATGATTTTTCAGGTTCTGCAGGCATATTTCCATAAGCTCCCATGGAAAGCTGAAGATATTTAAACTTAGGGTTCTCAAAATTAACATAATAGTTGTCTTTCTTTCTAAATAGTGCCCAAATACTTTTAACATTAATAGGCGTATAAGCTGCTGTAAATGTTGCACTTGAACTATCTGTATTCTTTGAGAATGAACCGTCCATAGGAATCCAATCCATAACTTTAACAGGAAAACATAAAGCCTCGTTTGTATAATGTTCTACAAGTTCTGTATAAATGTTAGGGTCTAAAGAGAATGACTTTGGATGAATGAAACATTCATTAAAATCCATCTTTGTTCGAAATAGTTGCTGGGTTACAGTTGTAATAGTAACTGTTCCACTAGCTTCTACTGCCTTCGTTATCATAGTGAATGGTTCATTCCATGGAACAAATTTATTTGTCGGTGGATTTGAATCTGAAGCAAATGCAACTTTAAGAGTTGGATTGAAAGCAATGATATCATTTACAGATATAGATGTGCATTGTAAGGCGTCGCTACTGAACTTTACTTTAAGCTGAATGTTTCCTGCAAAAGCTGGAATAAATCGAATAGCTTCTAATGGAAGGAATCTTCTAACAGGAATTCTTAAACGAAGCTTAAAATCAAATGATTTTCCTGCTGTAATTGGACCACTAACAATTTGTCCTGTTCTGCATGTTCCCGAATGACTCCATACATCTTCATGTCGAGTCTTTGAGAAAACATCTACTTTCTTTATTTGTTCGGTAGTTTGTGAGTTTGAAGTTATATATGCTTCTTCTCTTGCGTTGTCTTGAGAATATACGATACGACCATTTGCAAGGATTTGATATCCAGCAACTGCATAGAAAGCGTCATCGAAACCAATCCAAAATCCTGGTGGGTTTGTTTTATTGGAACCTGAACCAATTTCTTTATCTACAATAAATTGACCTTCCATTTTATACGTAATGAATGTATTGTAAAGGTCCAACATATTTTCACCAGGAGGTGAGAGATTGAATGTTACCCATGTGTTATCTTTAGCAGTTCCAGGTTGTGATGGAATCTTTGCGTCAGAATATTTTCTATTAGTGTCACCAATTTGAACTGCATTGTCTATGATATCGAAATATGAGCGAATCTGATGAATATGCTCTGCTGGAGTAAATTCGTTTAACTGTTCGTTCTGCATGTATTTACTTCGATAAAAATATCTATTTACTTCATTATTCTCACTCTTCTTCTTGGCATTCGTGGTGGAAGTTGTTTCTTGACATTTTCAATGAACTGTACATTCTCTTTTGTCTCAACTTCTTTCACTGGTGGGTCAGGGTTCTTTGACTCGGTTTGTTTTTCAATGAAATTCACGAACTTTGCAATAAGCTCTTGGTTCGTTATTGAAAGTACATCTGGCTTCTTTTCTTCTGGTTCTTTTGGTGGCTCAGTTTGAACAGAAGGTTTTATATGGGCTTCGTGGACTTCACCCTTGCCATACACCTTAATGTTGTCGCTTTCTGCATTCGCTAATGGAACCTTTCTTTTTCTTACGTATATTTTACCATCTTTACTCTGACTTACGTAATAGAAAGGATGTTGTATTCCTCTTGCGTCATTTAATATAATAGACTCTCGCTCTGATTTTGACAAGCTCATTTTACATCGGTTAAAGTTTTAATTTTGTTTTTTATCTGCAGTCAAATGACTCAGACAAGCCCTACGGACAAGACCCAAGGGGTCATAGATGTTGAAGCATTGAAGAAAGAAATTCGTGAGCAAATTTTATCCGAACTGAAGGAACAAAAACAAGAACAAAAGCCAGAGAGACCAAAGAGAAAACTTAGTGAAAAACAACTTGCTGCATTAGCTGCTGGAAGACAAAAGAACCCACGTTTGCTGGCGAAGAAAGCTAGAGAAGAAGCTGAAGCAAAAGCTAAAGAAGCTGAAGCAAAGAAAGAGTAAATGGTTTATTTTTATCCGAATTAAATGTATAGACAAATACCTTTAACTGTTGCGTTCAGTAGTGAAAACCCTGACGTCAAAATAAAGGGGAACAGAGTAACGTTTAAGTTTCCAACAGACTGGATTGTGAACATAAATGAAGAGAAGTACATTGGCATAACATCTATGTATATAACACGTGCTTTCAGAAAGGTTGACTTTATACTTCAAGTCGAGATAGAAAATGACGAACAGTCTTTAAGCGCCCAAAACATTCACATATACAAATACTTTAAAGACGATACAACATTGTTGCAATGTATGATTTCATTTAATGAGATGTTCGAGAAAAGTTCAACATTGAAGTACAAACTTTACAGCCTTTACGTGAGTTTCTTGCACAACTGAAGGAAGAAGGTAGTCGGCCACAACTTATAGACTTTCATTATGAATTTAATGAAAATGAAGATGGAACTCATGACTGTCAGTTTGTTATATATTCACCATTCAATGAAGTAGCTAAAAAGAAAGAAAATCCATTACGTATAAGGTTTCAAATCTCTGAACCCAATGATGATTTCAAGAATGTTTTCAATTATGATGCAATGCTTCCGAGGAAAAATGAATTTTCAAAGATTGTAACACCTGATATTTGGGATAGAAAGCAAGCTATATTATATTCAAACTTAAGTAAGGGAGTTGAAAATGAGTTCATTGGTCATACAAGAACATCACCACTTCCTAACCCTAAATATTATAAATTAACTGGCTTCAATCGTGAGTTTTGGATAGACATGTTCTCCACTCATGACCATAACTGCCAGTGTTCTTACCTCCAGACCATAAGGACTGTCTCTACATTGAAGCACAACTCTTAAACTCTACCATCGCAGTATTGTAAATGACCACATGGGCTTCGCCCTTGCCGCTAGCGGCTTATTTTTATCATGAATGGTCTCACTGCTGACAAAATAAATGACCTCAGAACTTCAACTTACGAATAAAGCTTGTTTTAGTCGTTATTGAGAAGTTAAACTTCTCTTCAAAGCAAGGTTGACATGACTTACATAAGTCAAATCCAATCTCTTGACCATCATAAAGTGCTTTATATAACTTCATAACTGAACTCAGAGTCTTTGTCAAATTTTCCTTGCGGAACCATTAAACCTTTATCTTCATCATAGAAACACTGAACAGAGTCAGGAAACATTTCATTAGCGGTTAAAGCAATAACATCTTGCTTCACGCCTTTCATTCTGCAGTGAAATGCAACTTCATTTAAATCATTCGTGAGTAAGTCTATATAAGTCTTCTTTCCACAAAATATTGACTTGTATGCTAAACTTTGTTTTCCAGGTGTTATTTCTGCGAAGTCAGAATGAAATTGACCAAGGTTTTTACCAATGAGAACTCTTCCATAACGTTTCTCAAACTCTTCAGCTAAACGAGGGATATCTTCATTGTAGAGATGCATACTGTCCGTATCGCTATAAAAGATGTCCATTCCTAAGTCTTCAGCAGTACAGAATACTTCACACATTATTCTCTTCGACATTGATAGAATATTTACACCAAGTGGACAGAAGTTAAAGTGTCTGCAAATGCTTTTCGTTAGCTTGAAAATAGTTTTATCTGAACCATCCAATCCTTCAAACTTCACTATATGGTTGTAGTTTCTGATGGCATATCTTATAGCATCTTTGTCATCTACTATGGTTATTTTTGACTCAATAGGAGATAGAATAGTTTTGCCATAAATACTGTTCAGAATGAGCTTTATATTTTCTTGTAAAGGATTTCCTTCTTTCTTATACTTTAACCTTAACTTAAACAATTTCTTAACTTCATCTCTTATTCTCATATCTCTGTTTCCATCGTAATAGTATCCTTGCAACACTTCACATTTGACACCTTGATATTTTATGAGGTCTTGTAATGTTATATGGTCAACATACATTAAACAGCAAGTGTTTGAACTTCTGGGAACGTTAAGTTCTGGATTTAGTTCAGGGTCACAAACTATTAAAGGAAAGTGTCTATGTATTCCAATCTCTGTTATCTTAATGAGAACAAAGAAGCCAGACATAAACTTTTCACCAATGGGTTCCTTTTGGTCGTCATCGAATAAATGTCTCATGAGATACTCTGTGCTTAACATTTCTTTCTTCATAACCTTTGGAATTCCTTCTAAAGTATAAAGTCTCGCGATAGCTGAGGGATATAATGAAACAGCATCGAAGTCAGCAATGAGTTTCTTTTCGCTCTTTTGTTTCATGTTATCTGACAGCATACATCTTCCACCTTGAATACAGCGTGAAATAAATTCTCTTGGTTTATTTGAGAGGTCATATAAATTTCCATTCGGGAAGTACACTCTGTTCTCAAACAATTTGTTAGCAATAGAACAAATACTAACGTAGTCATATACGTTTAAATCAAACTCTTTCAATAAGTCATTGCGGAACTTTACAAAACCTTCTCTTAAAATTCTTACATCTTGTTTGCAGTAAAATGTGCTATATTTTTCTAAGTCGAAATGGTTTTCATCTATTCTGCAACCTTTGATGGAATCTATGTTTTTCATGAATGTATCTGCATCCCGGATAAACTTACAAGCTTCAGAAATGACACCAATTCTGTTGTCATTTGCTAACAAAGTACTGCTGTAGTAGTTATATGGAAATACTTCTTTCGGTCCTGTTTGTAAGTTAAACATAGCAGGAAATAGTTTAAGCTTCTTATTTATAACACTGTAAGAGTCTTTTATAATAAGTGCCCTTCCTTTATATAAGCCAGTTATTTGCATTGTTCGTGAACCTTTAATGATGGGAGTTCCTTTCACTTCTGTCATGTGTCTTAAGATGAAGTTTATATCATAGCTGAGGTTATGGAAATATATTAAACTCTTGTCAGGAAGTCGTTCCAAAAATTCTGTTGCACAGTTCTGACCCCAAATGCTTTCACTCACTGAACCATCTTCACTGTCGTAACATATGTTAAAAGCTTTATGAAAGCCATCGGTACTACACTCAAAGTCAGCAAAGAAAACGTGCTCAGGAATGAACTTGCACTTATTTTTATTTACTTCTTTTGACTCGGCTTTCTTCTTCAGTTGTACACAATACTTTGGAGCATATGTCAAATCTTTAAATGGTGCAAGGTTCTGTTTATATAAGTCAGTCGTATATGTGAAAAGTTCTCCATAAGAAATAGGTTCGAAATATTTGCACTCCCACAATGTTTTCATAACATCCCATAGCGGTGTAGTTCTATCCATGCGAACTACATATTTGTTCTCTCTCATTGTATAAATCTTCATCTGTTTCTCAATGTTCATTCCACCACAAGCTTTGAGAATTTCTTTATAGTTTCGAATGAAATATGTTGTCATTGGAAGTCTTTCATTTAGCATGTAGTGGTCTTCAACAAGAAGTAAGTCAATAGTTCGAACAGTTTCACATTCTTTTGGTATATATCTCTTTATTTCATTATGTCTTGAGTCATTGAAGTAACCAATGGTAACATTAAATGCTATACCTGTTGCGTCAAAAATTTCTTGTACTTTACTTTGAGGAAAGTCTCTAACACGAATGACTTCTCTCATGTGGTCAATAGTTTCTTCATTTACTCCAGCCTGAATGCAAGCATAAACGAAACAATTGTCTTCTGTCATAAGTGTTGCAGTTCTTTTGTTCAGTTCATTGAAGATTTGGTAGCGTTCAAGATTTATAGGTAATGTACAAAGATACTTCCAGAACTGACCGCTTCTTTTCTTATAAAACTTCTTTTCACCAAGGATTTCATTCCAGAAGTCATCTATATCTTGTTTATCTCCTGTTTGCTTAAGTCTGTTCAATAATCTTTTCTGTCTTTCTGTCAGTGTGCTTTCATCTCTATATGGTTTCTTTTTTGGTTTGCCTTTCTTTACATCTGACATTGTTAAGCCTTCATATTCTGTTAAATCATACATCTTTATTTCAGTAAGATTCTTTATGTTTGTCAAGAAGAAGTCATAGTGCATTTCAACAATACCTGCAGCATTTGCTTCTATCTCTGATATAAAGTTCTCCTTCAAGAGCTGATGTAGTAATGTTCCAATATTATTGAGGTTTAACGTAGAACATTCATACTTTCCACCAAGTTTTATAACATACCATCCATCTCTGTTGTGAGTTTATTTTAATTTTCTCTAAGAGTCTCATGAAAACCTTACCGAAATGTTTGTGTAAGTAGTCTCTGTTTGGTTCATCTAAAGCTTCGATGTTAAAGTCAATGAGTCTATTGCCTGACTTCACATTTCTCTTCCTATTCTCTTCATCTTTCTTTAACCATCTCTCACCTTCTTTTGGTTTGTCGTCAATGGAACGAATGACATCGTTAGCTTTGCGAACTTGTTCTATAGCACTTTTAAACATCTCTCTTCTCTGTTGTTTCAGTGTGTCGTCTCTCTTTCGTGTTTCACCAACGTTTGCATTTGTTATGTCAAACATTTCTCTTCTTACTTCATGAGTTATTGAACGTCTATGATATAAGTCAATAGCAACGTCATTTAAAGGAAATGCTCTTGCATTTATGAACTCATGAATTCTATCATAAGTTATTTCACCATTGTAGTCATTGAGGATGTCAGCGAGTGCCTTTTTGTTTGTTGCGTAATGCTTTGCAACATCTATGTTAGCTTCTGTAAGAAGTTGTTTTATTTCCGAGTGTTCTAACTTAGACAACTTCCGATACATCTTTAGTAGGAAATAAAAAAATATTTTTTTGAAAAAAATTAGATTAGATTTTTTAAAGTTATTTTTCAAAATAATTTAATATTTTTATTATAATGAAACACATGCAAGATTGCAAGTTCTTTTCATACAATGCTCTCGCTACTGCCATCAAGAATGAGTTCAATGGTGCTTCAAACGTTAATGTTATCTTTAACAAGAAGTTTGTGAAAGAATCTAAGTTTGGTCAGTATGTCAGACCATTAGCTATCGTCATTGACCGCAAACGTTATACTTCACAAGAGTTAGCAGTAGTTTTGAAACAAAAGAGTTTCTTCGTGAATGTCAAAGATACTCATTATACTGTCATAAAGAACTCTAACATTGACTTCTTCAGTATTGCTTTAAATCTTTCCGAACAGAAAGAATATAAGAAGGGTGAAACAAATGTGAAATATTATCCTTCATCTCTGAAGACAATAACGAACAAAGATGTTATACAGAAATTCTTACCAAAGGTTGAAGAAGCTTCTATTGACATTGACGAAGGAAGTGAAATGGTTGAAGAAATTGACTCTGAAGCTATTTAAGCAAAAATATATTTTTGGTTAGTCTTCATATGGATATTTTACAACAATTCCCCAATGTATAAACTTTTCATACGCTTTTTCATAAGCTTTATATACCTTCAGAAATTTTGCATAATCTTTAGAAGCATTTAGATATTGTTTAAATGCTTTGTATGTCTTCAGAAATTTTGCATAATCTTTTACATGTTGTTCGTTCTCTTCTTCTGTCATGAGTTCCGAATATTCTAAATTCATGTTCTTTCATATGAGATAAAATTTTATAAAAAAATAAAATTAGCTTAGATTTTTTATTCTTCCTCTTTGAAGTTGTCAAAATACTCTGTTATTTTTTCCTTCAGTAATGGTAAGTCTTCTTTGAATGTAAGTATTGTGCAACCTTTGATGTCATAGTGTGTTTGAGGAAGAGTATTTTTGACAATTTCCTTTATTTGCTCATTCGGTGTCATTGAAATCGGTAAGTTTTCACGATAGAACCAGTTTCTGTCAGATTTATATATTTTAGTTAAGTCATAAAAGCTCTTGTTGTTTCTTCTGACTAAATGCAACATAACCATATCTTTATCTTCTTCTTTCTCCATCTCTTCAGTATATATCATATACTTATAACTCTTTTCCTTTCCTTTTGGTACTGAACGTGGTATTCTTTTCTGTATGCTTTTGTCTTTGGATTCAATGACTTCATCTTTTGCTTGAAGTTTCTTTTCCATATCTTCACGTTCTGCTTTATATAGTTCATCTAACATCATGAAAATATAACAAGCGTAACGAGGTGAAGCCCACATTGCTACAGCATTTACTAAAAGTCTATGAACATAATATCCTTTCAAACCAGGAGCCAAATTCTTGCGATTTTCGTACGGAATCTCTTCCCTCGGTTTTCCGAGGGTAGCAAACATATGAGGAAATTCTTCTAAAAGTTCTTTTGTCTGTTGGTTTTCAAACCAATGATATGCTTGCTTTGTAGACTGAAGAGCATTCATTATACTTTGCATTTGGTACATGTCATCTTTGACTGAACGAATGAGACGTAACTGTTTGTTATACTGTATGTATTCGTATTCTTCATTTATGGCTTCATGAACGATAGCAGTTGTTGTGTTCTCTGATGTTGTCATTACTGTCTTTACATACAAAATAAAAAAAATAAATAAAAATAAAACTAACTTTATTTTTTCTGTGTTAAAGAAATGTTAAAAATTCATGGTTACATATGTGAAAAGAAGTCACGAACAAATGAAGGTCATAAGATTCAGCACATAATTCTGAATTGAATGGTGTGTCATACATGTCAAACCGTCAAGAATTGAAGGAGATACGAGGCTATAAAGATTTTGGATATTTTCTGACACACACCCTGAGGGAAAAGTGATAAAACACGACGATAGAAAAAGTGGCAAAATTGAGAGAAAGTTGTTCCCCGACCAAAATGCAATCATGTTGAAAAGTGACATTTGTAAAGTTGGACGATAGGATTTCCTGAAAAAGTGCAAGACTTGTCTTGAATCAGGACAAGATTTGTCTTGAAAAAATACAAGACTTGTTCTGAAAAAATACAAGACTTGTTCTGAAAAAATACAAGACTTGTCTTGAATCAGGACAAAACTTTACAAAATGTAAACTTTACATAACCGTTTCTATCGTACATGATATTTAGTTGACATTGTAAACTATCTTCATGTAAAGTATGGCGGTTTGAAACCGTCGGGAACCTTCACTTTTTTGACGAACTTTCCGCAGCAATTTTTAAAATTTGTGAAAACTCAACGGTTTGACACGTGCCATATGTCATTTTACTCAGAATTTTGTGCTGAATTCAGCAAAAATAATGTTTATGTTAACATGTTAGATCTAACACGTTTTCTAACCTCTTTTCTAACATAACTATTTACAAGCGTTTTACATGGTATATGTTGCGATGGTTCATGACTTTAAACAGTTTTGTAGCTTCTATTTCTTCTTTTAGTACATCGAATGTTTTAACTATGCCGAAGGTTTCTTTATACTTCTTCTTGACGTCAGATAATAGGAAATCGTCAGCAGTTGGATAGTTTTTGTTCAGAAATGCTAACATGTCCATTTTATCTTCTGCTGGCTTTTCTGCTTCTTTCTTTAAGTCTGCATAGTCGTTTCTCATTCTTTCTATCTCTTTGATGGAGTAGTTATATTTCCTAATTGCTGCCTTACATTTTGAACATTGCGGGTTCATTTTTGCGTTATACATTGAAATAAAACCAGCTAAAACAACTAAAGCGTCAATTGCTCTCTTCATCTCAAACATAGCGGGTCTTATTTGTTTGTTCCATACTTTGCCTCTTCTATCTTTATCTCTTATTTCCCAAACACATTCAGCAACTAACGAAACAAAGTTGTCGTAGGTCTTAAATTCTTCAGATTTATATATGTCAGAAACATTCTTATATACCATATCGCAATCTTTGTCCATAACCTTATGGTTGCAATGAAAACCAAGGAATTCATAATTTACCTTTCGTATGAATTTCTTAATTTCTACTGAGTCAGTTGGTTTCACTTCAATTTCGTCGAATTCAGGAATAGTGAGTTTTTGTTGCTGTATTTCAGGAAGTTTAGGTAGATGGTCGATGAGGTCCTGCATGTCGTAAAGATATTCTTCATTTGTTTCATCTTTCGCACTACAGTCTAAATTACTTGTTAAAAGTTCTTGCTTTATCTTCTGGATTTCTGTTTCAAAAGTATATGAAGAAGGAATGAAGCTTTTCATTTCTACTAACATAGATGTTGGATTCATGACTAACGAGTTTGGTGCTGTTGTTTGAATTGTTGTTGTGCCGATTGTTGAAATCATATCTTTACATACAAGATAAAAATTTTTCTTAGAAAAAAATTAGCGTTATTTTTCTTTCATAAGGAAATGTCAAAAATTCATGATTTTCGAGAGTTTTAGACCATGTTAGAAAAGTGGTTAGAAAACGTGTTAGATCTAACATTCTAACATAAACATTATTTTTTGGTCGTTTATGACAAAAATAAATGGTTCATTTACTCACAATATTTTTGTACAAAACGACCCCAAACTTTTAACTTCTTTTCTGCAGTTTCTAATGCTATCTTAGCGAGTTCATATTCTCTAAATTCTCTCTTTAAATCTTCTTGTTCCCATTGGTCTAGTTCGTATGAAGAATCTCTATAACCATAACATATCTCACGTTCATGTTCTAATTGTTTTTCGCACATTTTTCTAACTTCTTGTTCGAACAAAGGTTTAGCATTCTTTACTGTATCTTCAAGTTCTTCTTCATCTAATTTCTCATGAACTTTCTTGTCTATGGAGTCCATAATTTTTCCAACTGCTATGCAATATTTTGGAGAAGCCCACATTGCTATATAGTTTATAAGTCTTGGGTCTACATACGTTCCTCTAACCTGTTTGATTTCATCAGGAATTCCTGCATGAATTTTGTATAAAAACCAACCGCCGGAATTCGGACTGTTGCTATATTCTTCACAAAATGCCTTATAATACTCTTCCCAGGACTTATTTTCCAACAACTTTCTAAAATCTTTCCTAAACTGCTGACACATATTTGTTGCATTAATGTAACCATCCTTGTCTCTACGTAAGACTTCAATACCGTTATAAGTGCCTTTTGTGAATGTTTCGCCATTATATTTGTTAGTGAATGTTTTTGCTTCGACTGACATTTCTGTCTTTACATACAAAATAAAAAAATAAATAAAAATAAAACTAACTTTATTTTTTCTATCTTAAGGAAATTCATGAATTTTCATGAGGGTAGAAATGAGGTTAGAAAAGTGGTTAGAAAACGTGTTAGATCTAACATTCTAACATAAATAAAGTTTATGTTAAAATAAATGGTACCATTAATGATATCATGACTGTTCTCATTCATGTCTGATTTACATCTAATGAAAAAGTTTAGAAGAATTTTCTTATTCTTTCTGGCATATTTTGGTCTTTCCAGTACTCCCGCTCTAATGGTCCCAGATGTGTTGGCTTCGACTCTCTCAAGTTCTTAGATGGTATAACATCTTCAACGCCTCCTTCATATCTTACTTTATAAGTGTCATCGTTTATGTTGTAGCCAAGTATTTCAATAACCACTCCTCGCTTTGCTTCGTCAATGGTTTCAGCAAGTTTGCCATTACTACTTTCAACTAATTTATGACGAGGGTAAAATGCTATGGAGTCGTCAGCAGCTTTTATAAGATATCCATTACCTTGCGTAGAGTCTACGATATAATAGTTTCTACTTAACCTTAAACGTTTCTTTGTCAACGGTTTGTCGTCAAGAACTACACGAACTTTTGTACCAGGAATGAGGGTAAATTGTGTTAAATTTATGATATTTTGTGTTTGGCTTCGTTTCTTTTGTATATACTTTTCTTCTTGTTGTTGTGTCATTGAATTTGGTGTATGTCCTGTTGTAGAATGTGTTGAGGAATTATATACTTCGAGAAAATGTTTCATTGTTTCTTCGGTAAAGTCTCGCTCTTGGTTTAAATCTCTGAGAGTCCTTATGAAGCGGTTTATGATGCCAAGTATGTTATGGTTATGGTCTTCAGTAGTGTAGTGAGTTATGTTATGCTTAATGAGAAATTCTGTGATTTCATTACTGAGGTATGCACTGTCTTGGTCTGATGTTAAAGTACTTGGGCTATGTTCTGCTACAAACTTTTGTAAAACTCTTAACACTTCACGAGTTCCTTTATTTTTCATTGGATATGCATATGCTTTACGAGTGTTAACATTTATGAAGATGAGGAATGGTTTATGTCCTCCTTTTCTGCTTTGAATGAGAGTGTCAAATTGGTATGCGTCAGGAGTGTTGGAGTAAATTGGTAAAAAGTAGTCGTAAGGATTTATTTTTGTTTGATGTACAACATTTTTGTCAAAGAACCTTTTCACTTCAGCTCTGTTAGTAAATCCCCAACTCTTTGCAGCTTCATTGAACTTCTTAAATGACCTCCATGGATGTTGTTCGAATACTTCTTTCAAGCTCATTTATGTAAAGTTAAAGATTTTATTCTAGGCTCAAGCGCGTTCATTGAACGCGGTACCATGCGAATATAGTCACAAATGGTGGCATATAATCTTCACCCGAGCCTGTTGGATTTGTTGTGAAAGTGTGTGAATGATTTCCTGTGGTTCCACAGAAAATACCTGTGCTTGAATCTACTGGGTCACTTGAAATATCATATCTATGCATTCCCTGTCTATCCGAACCTGCTGCAAGATTTGTATAACCTCTTTTTGTTATTGAATGTGAATGACTACCTGTTGTGTTTGTAGTTCCTGTATGAGTGTGCGGTGGAAGGTTTGCTTCTTTAATTTTCTTCGAACCACCTGTTTGCTTTGAAGAGTTCGCACAGTATAAGAATTTATCTACAATCTGCTCCCACGTACCGAAACCCAGAACTGTTGCTGGATTTATTGAGTTCATTGACGTATAAATAGAGCCTGCAGGATATAATGTTTGAAGTATTTCAGTCTTTAATGTTTGAAGCTCTGTTTTGTCAGCCTTCTTGTCATATAAATCTTGAGCAGTGAATTTAATATTATATTCATCCTTCATGACATAAACATCTTTACATCTAATGTTTCTCATCGTCGTTATGTCGTCATCCGATGTTAAACCTTGTGGAAAGTTAGGAGGTTTACAATATAATGCATCCCCACCAGTTTCTTCAACCGTTCCTTCAATACTTTCTATAGCAACAGTTGTAAAACTTGTATGTGTATGGTTCTTGTCAGCTTTACTGTCTAACATTGCTGGTAGTTCATGGGTTTCAAAGTTTCTGGCATGACCTTCAATGTTCATACATTTACTATTTAAGGAGTTTAGTGTATCTTTTACGCTTGTACTTGGATTCTCTAAAGGTGCACTTGAACCAAGGGTATAGTTCAATATTATGTCGTCTGCTCTAACAGTAGTGAAGAATTTATGTGTATGGTTCTTGTCGGCTTTACTGTCTAATGTAGCTTGAAGTTCATTTATATCGGAGATGTTGTGTTTATGAGATTTCAAAACTTTGTTCATTGCTTCGAGTTCAACTTTGTCAGCTTTACTTTTAATAGCATCTTCAAACGTTATTTTTGACTTAACTCTCAAAGTAAATCTTGGTTCAACTAATACACCTTTAACAGAGAAAGTAGAGGCATAAATTTCATCGTTATAACTAAATGCTTCTGGTGCTTTACCCGTGTCATACTGTACAGTACAGCTTATGTCATAACCTTTAGCACGAATGTATTTATATCTTCTTTCATTGGGGTCTTCCGTCTTCACTTCTTCAGTTCGTGTTAAATATCCATGGTAGTCCGTTATAATCTGTTCGTCTGAAGTTATATAATGAACGTGGTTTTTATCTGCTTTTTCGGCTAATTTCTCTTCTATCTCATTTATTTCAAGTTCATGCCTACCACCACCTCCCGAAGAAGTATTTTTCTTCAGCTCTTGAAGAACGTCCACTTCGCCATCTTTGGTGTCAATAATGAGACTTTGTGTTAAAACCTTTCCTGTCTTAATGGATGTTTGTAAAACTTCTTCTTCACCGTGTTCGGGGTCATGGTCGTCATCATATCTTGTGAAATCAGAGATGTTGTCATACATTAAGCATATCTGTCTCAAAAGTTCTGCTATTTGAAACTGGAACGAAAGATATACAGAACTTTCATCATCTCCTAAAGTCAAGTCTGCTTTCTTAAGTATTTCTTGAATGTATGCAATGAGAACAGAGTACCTTGGAAAATATTCGAACAATATTTCATTAGCTGTTGGTTTTGGTGGTTCCTCTGGAGTTTCTGTTGTTTCAGTTCCTTCTGTAGGTTCTGTTGGAGTTTCTGCATCTCTTGACTTCAATGCTCTTGCTCTCAAAGACCTAAATGTTAGAGCACCGGGTTTTACAAAGGACTTTATAAATGCTTTAATAGTTCCTGGTAAGTTATTGTTAGCATTAAGTAAGTTCCTTATGCTTCCATCATGTACGTCCATAGCACTATGTAAAAAATCTATACTTTTCTTGTAGTCAGCAATAGACTGACTGTGATTTTTTAAAGATTTGTCAATACCTTTAAGCCAATCTTCATGCATGTCTGATACTGAGCCAAGAATATCATTTGCTTCCTTTAGTGTATTTTGTGCTTTTCGTAAAGTATCCAATCCCGTACGTGCATTGTTTGCTATACGTCTTACAGTATCTATTTGACTCCTTGTTTCTTGCATCCAACCAGATAAAGTTTTAATAGTATCCGAACCATTTGAAATGAAGTTCAAAGCATTTTTAACGTCATCTAAAGCTTCTTCACCAAGTACTGCCCATATCTTTCCGATTTGGTATTGAAGAACTCCATATGAAGCAGCTGTTAAACCAGTATTTATAAGGTCCCATATCCATGATTTAGCAGTTTTTCCATCCTTTCCATCCTTTCCATCCAAACCGTTTTCGCCTTGAGGTCCTTGTATTCCTTGTATTCCTTGTATTCCTTGTATTCCTTGTGGTCCTTGTGGTCCAGTGTCACCCTTCTCTCCTTTCAGTTCATCTTTATGTTCGTTATAATATTCTAATGTCATAAGGTGTACATCATTACTGCTACCAGCAACGCCGAGAATTTGTTTCTCATTCATGACTAAATTCTTTAGGCATTTAATGTTGTCGTCAAATCGAAAGCTCTTTAACAATTCAATGAGAACATTCAGTACTTTCACTAATGAGGCATCTACTGTAGAATTTATATATTGCACCGTTCCATCATTTATGATAGGAACTTTACTTATTGTAATGAATGGGTCATAAGTGTTAAAAGTATCGAAATCAATGACTTTTTTAGTTTTTCCATCGTCAATGACTAAATCATTGCCTTCAATGGTTAAAGTTGAGTTTTCGTTTACTAGTTCATGTGCTCTTCTTGCTTCATTTGTTTCATACGCATATGCAGCAATAGTCATATTTTAATGAGAATAAAATGTTGTTCTATTTGCAAAGTACAGACCCAAACGAATACGGGACAGTAAAGCTACAAACAAACTTAGGTCTTCAGAATGAAGCACTTGCTTTCAGAGTTGTTGACTTCAATACTATCGCTTTTCGTTATAACAGACGAAACAGATTTCATGGATTGAAATAGATGACAAAAGAAGTTTTATAACATTTCCTAACAGAGCAGAGTATAGAATAGATAAAATTGCTGGAGTCATAGATACTCTCATAAATGAAGAAACTATTAACAACATAGATGTCGAACTCTCTTCTGAGGGAACATTGAAGTTCAGTAGCAAGAAAGAGTTCAAGATAACACGAATGAGTCATAGAGTACAACTTCTTTTGGGAGCATACCATATGACATTTCCTTTGAAAAGTGTTGACAAAACGATTGAGATGAAATCTGTTCCATACGTATGTTATGGTAATTGTTTGTACATTGAGTCTAAAATAGCTAATGTCACAGGCATTTCAGGAGTTAATAGTAAAGGTTCAGTAGAATATAAATCCTTCTGTTATGCAGTCAATTCAATGTTCATTCCAAACGTTCCTGTCATAGTAACTCATTTAGGTAAATGGGTTCGCATTAGTCCTCATAATTTGAAAGACATGCAATTCAGACTTGTTGACTTTCAGGGCGAGCCTGTAGAACTGAAGGCACCAGTGCGAATGACTGTTGAAGTTGACTTTTTAGAAAATATTAAATGCAACAGCTTACAAGAGAACTCAGAGCTAAAAATATAAAGTATGAATGTTATGTATTAGGTCATGAACTTTGGTTGTTGCTGTTTGATGAAACAAATGAATTAGTTATGTCAGTCAAGAGAACAGAAAAATATTGTGTTAGTGAAAACTGCACCAAGTCAATAAGATTAGGTTTGCATTATGAAGATGAGTTCGATACTGTTGAAGAAGTTTTGGATAGATATTACAAATTGCTTTAATTTACTAAAACATATTTCAAGCAAAGTTTATATTCTGTTGAAAGTTTTGTATACTCGTTCGAATATTTATACTTAAACTCAACTCCTGGAGTACCTGGTATTTCAATGATGCGGATGTTACCTATTTTCATGAATGGTGGCGTTTGACCACAGCATTCGATTTCAGGGTCGAGATAGTCAATGACACATTGTTTCCCTGTTATTCGTGAGATAACATTTTCAAGGTCCTCCTTTGTTAGAATTATTTGGTTCTTACTTATAAGATTTGTCAAAAGCTTCTTATCGTCTTTGAGTAAAATTGTTTGGTATAACTGAAGAAGGTAATGGTCTACGTTATCTGAAGGATTTGTTTGAACATTTGTGTAAGAGTTGTCGTTGGCTTCTCTTGAAAGAATTTGGTCCAGTGGTGGATACTCTAACTTAACATCTGATGTAGCGTTAGCGTTTGAAGCTGTGTTTAAATTCACGGATTTCAGCTCTGGTTCTGGCTCTTTCAAACACTCCGAACTATAATTCTTTATGACAATATTGTTTGTCGTTCGTGAGTCAACATTTGATGTTGGTTCAATTGGAACATTAACGGCACCAGCTAAGATGGATTTGCTTCTCATTTCATATAGAATAAAAACCTTTTATATGTATGAAATGAACAATATACTCGACAAAGGTTTGAATGTAAAGCTAACGAATGAAAATATTGTTGAATTCACTGAGACAGGTGCTGTGTATAAAGATGTAGAACTACTGAACAAAAGAGCTAAGGGAAGAAGCAGGAACATGAACAAAGGGTGGAAGCCTCTAAAAATTTATGTCAATGATGGCTCAGGAGGTTCAAACATAAAGTATGCAGAAAGTTATAGAGTTTATGCTCTCAAAGGTGAAAAGCCTTCATTTAAGAACAGCTATTCTAACGCATATCCTCAAAAGCTAACGGATGGGGAAGTGGATGATATGAATGACAGCAAAAATATTAACAGAAATGGCGACAGAGATGCATGGAATTTGTTTACCATCAGTCAATTGAAGGTTAAACTTTAAAACAATGTTGGTCGTTCCCATGGAATATTTTTGACTTTAATGGTATTAGTCATGATATGAATCTCAAGGTATGAACGAGGAGAGATGAGAGACTTATATGCTTCCCAAATTTCTTCAAAAGGTAATGTTATACCTGACTGTTTCCAAATGAGTTCAATATCATAACGTGAGAAACCTTGAAAGATAACGAAGTCAGTTATGAGACGTTTTATGTTTAAAGCAAGGAAACGCCATGTTTGCATAAGTATTGCTACAGTTAAATGGTAATGTCTGACTTTAGTTATGATGTTAGCTAATGGTGAGTCAGGCTTTGACACTAAACCTTTTCCGGCGAAGTCGTCACAAACGAGCAGAGTATTTGAAGGATACTTTTTGAAGGGGTATTTTGAAAGTTTTGACAGAATGTAGTTTGTCAGTCGTTTCATATCGTAAACTTCTGAGTACTGACGTAAGTGGTGTTTGTCAATAATTCTTTCCATCTCTTCTGAAGTCTTTTGCATTCCTGACTGTATAAATTCAACGATGGCATAATATTTTCTCTTACGTCGAATGTAACGTTGAAGAAATTCAATGAGTTCACTGTCTGGAACTTTAACGACAGATGCTTGAACTTTACTCATGAATGTTTTCGCTGTTGAGTCCATAGAGTCTGAAGTTGCTGATATAATGATTTGGTCATAGTAAGAGTCGTTTCCTAAACGCTCTGTTATGAGTATATGACGAATGAGGTTGAATGTCTTACCTGAACCCATCTTTCCACAATAGAAATACACACCATTTGAACAGAACTCATAATCTTTGCTGAAAGGAAGAATAAGAGAAGAGTTAAGTTTGTCTGTAGTTTCATTCATGTCTTCATCTACGTCATGTATTAAATGTTTCATTTTATCTCCATTAAAAATGCAAGTCAGAAATATTCAGAACATAGCACCGAGTCTAACTGACAAGAGTATAAAGATATACTATGAACATGTTATGATGAAACCAACCAAAATTCAAGAAAGTCAGTATACTTATGAATATCCAAGACACTGGGTAGAGTATGTAGGAGGTGAGAAAGCTATTGAAATAAGACA